TGCTGAAAAATGCAGATTTTCCCAGGTGAAGGAGAAAACTATGGATTTTCCCCTTTTAAGCAGGACATTTTGCAAAGAGCTCTCTGCAGTCTGGCAGAGTTGCAGTCTGAAGGAGCTGCTTGCAAAAAGGGCAGGAAACTCTCAGTGCTGTCCAGAGGGGCAGGGGGAGGGGGCAGGGCCAGAGACTGAGTCAGTCAGGGCTTGGTTCAGACTCATTTTCCCTCCTGAGGCCTTTGGGGTAAGTAAAGCTTGCAGGGGCTGAGCACAACTGGGAACAACTGGGGCGGGGGGCCCTGTGGGTTGGGTGTAGGTGATGCTGCTGGGGAGGGGTTAGAGCTAGAAAGCCCCACACCCCTCCTCAGCCCTCTGGTGCCTGGCACCCAAGCCTCAGAGCCCTGGAGCTGCCTGAGGTAGGCGAGCCTTGGGAGACCTGCCTGCAGGTCCAAGCCGGGGCTGTGTGGAGGGGTGTGACGGCAGGTCCAGGCTCCAGGCACAGACGTGGACACAGCGCAGTGCTGGACACTGACACAGACACACACAGCCCACCCCACCCCACCCATGCACGCTAGGGACAGAAATTACACACAAACCGATAGAAGTGATCGGAAACTGGTTTAAATGTGTAACACAACAGAAGTTCAGGAAACAGAAACTAATTTCAAAATGGCTGAAACCAGCTTAAGATATACCTGGATGGACGTAGTATCAGACTTCACTGATTTAGGTCAAACCGGTTTATTGAACTTCTGTCCCAAATCCCTTGCAGATTCAAGTTAACTCAGTCCCCCAGCATCCCAGAATGCTTTGCACACTCTGTCCCCCCCCCCCACACACACACACAAACACACCCCTGTTCCCAGGGTGGGCAGGCTAGCCTTGGCCCAAACTGGCTGCTCCAACTGAGCAGGAAGGTGTGCTCTAGTGCCTTCTGGCCTGTGCTGCTGCAGGCATGTGGCTGCATTTCTGGAATCAAAAGTGAATGTCTGTTCACTTGCTTATCAGTTCAATCTGCACAGCTTAGACTAACCTCCAAAAATTGAATCAAGTCAGTCTCAGGCCTTTTGACTGTCTGTACTTAGCCAGAGACAATTCTCTCTCTGAGCTTCCCCTTCATCCACTGCTTGAGGCACATTTGTGGAGCAGAGGTTTATTATTTCCTCATTTGGCTAGGGCACTTCTAAGATTTTTAGGGCCTTCATTTTTTTTTCCGGGGGGCAGGTTTGCCCTGTTTTAGGGAGACTACCCTAGGCACAGGCTTTCTAACTTGCTTTATCAAGTACAGAGCTCAACCCCCACACTCTCACTACACTCAGGCTAGCACATTTTCCCTGGCCAATATATTTCTGGAGCTACTGCAACAAGGGGGTTGAGAGGTGTTTCATTAGCAGGAGTCTTTGGGATGGTCTTTTTGTAAAAGACAGTTTCAAAGGCAAAAAAAAACAAACAACAAAAATACCCAATCACAATGGGCTGGGCACAGCATTGAATACCCCCTCAGGCAAGCTATTTTAAACAGGGCATGTTTACATGTGCTTTTACGCACACCTAAACTTAATGAGCATTTGTCTAAAGCGCATTAAGGTGATTTAGACCTGTGTCTACATGTGCACGCATAAAGTAGTATCAAATTTCTGTGCGAATAGCTAAATCACATTAGTGAATGTATAGACATGATAATGCTAGTCCCAAGTCAATGGGCACAAGCCTTGTTAATGCGCATTAGCACGTCTACATGCTCACTAATGTGCTTTAATTGCGTCTAAATTTGGTACCTGTTTTATGCAGGAACAGAGTGTTGTTTCACCACTCAAACTAGCTGCAATCAGGTGGAATATATGGTCAATTGTGTCAAGTACCATGCACAGTACTACCAGCTCTACTATGGGTTTGCAGAGGATAAAGTAACAGAACGTGGGGATACATCTGTTCTGAGGGAACTAGCAAGCCTGTTAGCCGTAGAAGACCTGCATACTGACCTGAAGTACATTACAGATAATCAGGAATGCTGGTTTTTTCTGATATAAGATCGCAAAATCTGTGATTTAAAAAAAAAAAAAAAAAAAAAAAAAATCACAAATTCTTTAATAAAAACTCCCAAATCTGTTATTAAAATTAAATGCTCCCCACAGCCCCTCCC